CAGTCCGGGCACTGAAGACTGATGAGGTAAAGAAAAAGAGTATTATAGAAAAATGATCAATTTAAATCTAAATACATTTTTTATTTTCAGTAATAATGTCAATGAGTGTAAATACCCTCATATTGCCAAGATGGCAAGATGCTATCTCGCTGTGCCAGGCTCTTCAGTTCCTTCCGAGAGAGTGTTCTCAACAGCAGGGGACGCAGTGACTGCAAAGAGGTCCACACTCTCCCCACACAATGTAGACATCCTTGTCTTTTTGAAAAAGAATTTGGAATTATAAGCTCAGGTATGCTTTGCTTTCTTTCTTTTTCTTTGATGATGTGGACATAGGCTTTATTTCACTATCCATGTTTAAAGGAAGGAGATATGCCTTTTTATGTTGCACTTTAAGTTGTTTTTCATTAATTATGTTAAAAAGAAGATAATATGCCTTGTGCACTTTAAAGGGACTATATGTAGTTTTTCTACTAAAATTAATCCTTTTGTTATTGCCTGTGTGTGAAGGGGTTGTAATCTGACATTAAAATGATCCACTTGCCAGGTTTGGCTATTAACTCTGAAGGCAAGTATTCCTATTCCTATTTGAAGGCTACGGCTCGGATTTTCCGCAAAATCCAGTGACTGACACCTGCATGCGCGCTCCAGAGCCTCTCGCTTTATCTACTGCACTCGACGACACTGCAACTTACGACATGGAGTCTGGTAACACTAAGAAACGACCTGCTCCCAGCACAACACAGACTCCAACACAAACTCCACACACAACCAACAAAAAGCTTTTATCTGCTGAAGCTCGTCAGGCCAAATGTGAATCGGATCGACTTTGAACGAAAACACGGATCAACATCGGCAGGGCTTTTTAATCATGGAGAATCCTCCGCTTTGTTTTGGGTATAAAAACAGACCCGGAGTTGGCTTTCATCCTATTGGACAGGTAAGCTAACATTATTATAAAACATGTAAAACATTTTGATTTTGTGTTTCAGTTGGCTCAAGTTAGATAGCGTTAGCTCGCCGGCTAACGCTGAGTAGTTGCTAATGTTGTCTGGTGCAAAGTTATATCGTAATGGTAAAAAGCTAATGTGGAGCGATTTGTTTACTGTAATGCAGCCACGAGCAGCCAGCTAACGCTACATTAGCTCGGACCCACCGCTGTTTGCTTCATAACGTTCAATTTAGATTTGTTGTCTTTTACCGATACTCAGGTACACAGCTTCTCCACCTCTCAGTCGCTGTAACTAACATGACCCACATAATACACAACCCAGTGGAAGAGCCATCCACTAACACTACAGTAAAGTTTCTTACTGTGGTCTAACTGCTATAAAGTGTGACACAATCTCGTTATAATATTCAGTCCAGCTCACTAACAGTTTCATTATCGTCCAAAACATGTAGCCGTGTTGAAATTGCTGAGCCTCCGGTGACAGATACACAGATAGTAAAGATGGTTACGTTGCAGTGGGCGTTTACCTGAGTTTCCACCACGTTGTGTGAAGCAGTCTCCCTACCTGTCTATAGCCGCTGTCACTTTGCCTTTTTTCGGGAATACTGTGCCAATATGCTGCGCTGAATGAAACGTATGGCACCGGTGTTGATCTGCCTCTGAGACGGGAACGTTGAAGTAACAGAGCCTGAACATGTCTGAGTGAAAAGCCACAGCCTGTATGCTGGTGTTCCTGCGTTTATTGCAGGATTTCTGTATGAAAGCGGTTGTGTTTCGGATTATGCTCGCTCATGAGTTCAAGCGAGCACGCGTATGAGCACACGCCTGGTAGCAATCTTAAAACCGCACTGCTAGTGGCCGCTAGAAACTACATAATGTCCCTTTTAAGTTGATTTAAATTATTAAATAAGAAAATATAAAAAGTGTTAATAAATGAAAAGACAAAACTTATGTTTATTTGTCCTGCTGATCCGAAGAATGATCCGATCCGTGACTCTGATCCGAGTTTTTTGATCCGTTGCACCCCTATCAGGATGCCTGTACTGATAACTCTGAAATAGCACCTGACTGAACAGCCCTAGAGCCAGATACCACAACATGGCAGCTCTCCTCTCATTGGTCAGTGCACTTGGTATGGTTGCTATAACAATATTTAGTGGCCAGGAAAATAGGCCACAAGGATTTGTTCATTTATTTGGCTAGAACAAGTAAGAACCTTTAAAGATGTTAAACACACTATACCTAGTAAATTCTTTCCTTGGTAAAGAAACATCTCAGTGTCTACAACTTTTTTAATTAAGCAAGAAAAATGCACTCATAATGATTAAAACTGATTTAGGCTATTCTATTGTTCAATATCATCATAACATTAGTTAATCACATAATGTTTTCCTTCAAAGTCGTCTTTCATAGGTAATCTTTTTACATGTAAGTTCTGTGTCTCTAGATGGAAAGCACTTTACCCTTCCCTTTACTCACTCACTGTTGTTACCAAAGAGAAAAAGGCTCCAACTGTTTTTGTTTTTTTAAGTCCCATTTGTTGTGGTGGCAGCCCGGCTGACGGTGAGTGTCCTGGTTTTTTCTCCTTTTTATCAGTTTTTCTGCTTTTTTTCCTTGGTTTCCAGTTCTCTGCCCGCCTCCCTGTGTTTTCTCCCCTGTGTGCTCTCTCTCCCTCTGCTCCTGAGCCCAGCCAACTACCTGCACTTGCAACTCATCAGCCACCTCGTCAGCCTGCCACACCTGCCAGTAATCACCTCATGACTGCCTGTATTTCAACCCCGGTTTTCCACACCATCCTCGCTTGATCGTCGTTGCTCCATACCTGGTGCCACTTCTGTGTTCAGGCTTCCATGTTTCTTGTTTTTTCACACTTACCCTGTGCCTTGTTGTTGTCTTCCCTAACCTTGTCTCTCTATCTGTTTCCCTCCCAGGTACACTTTCCCTCGTCCTCCGTTCGGCTGGGCTCATCCACTGGCCCACTCCTCTTCGGACTTCCCTCACGGCGTCCTCCCTGTTCCCCCGCCTCACCTCGCTTCCTCGGCCCCTGTGTTCCCCGACTCCCTGGCCCCCCTGTCTCCTTGGTTCCCCGTGCCTGTACTTCCCCGACGTCCTCCTCTCCCTCCACTCCAGTCCCTCTCACCCTTTTCCCCCAATAAACCTCCTTCCCTCTGAGTGCTGCATTTGGGTCCTATCTGTCCACACCCCACAACCCGTAACACCATTTCCCTTCATGGTGGTTTATGCATGTAGAGGAATCTCAACTTTCTCAGTCTCATCTCTGTTCAGCTGCTGGAATTTGTGACAATTATGTATAATTAACATAGAAATGTACATGTTTATTGACCAGGCGGAGGTAATTTTGTGATAAAAAAAAAAATGCACAGGTGTTTATCATCTACATACATATACAAATGATATGGGGTGGTGATGGAACAGTGGATAAGACACATGCCTTTGGTGTGAGAGACCCAGGTTCCCCACTGTGACACATCCACCAGTGTGTCCCTGAGCAAAACACTTAGTGTTAGTTGCTCCAGAGGTGTGCGACCTCTGACCCATATAGCAATTGTAACTCGCTTTGGATAAAAGCGTCAGCTAAATGAAGTGTAATGTAAATGAATTCCATGTCTCCTGCTATAAAGCAAATGCAGCATGTAAAGTCAGCAGAGATTGAGTCTTGTGGGACACCGAGTTTATAACTAGCTGTTGCTGATGAATGTGACCAAGTGAGACAACATCACGTCTGCCTGACAGATAAGGACTGAATCAGTTTAACACTGTGACACAGAGGGTAACATATCTCTGCAGTCTATGTAGAGGTGCACTGTAATTTACACAACAGTTTCCATCTGTGCTATCTTCACAGCTGCTGGAGGTGGTCATGCATATGAATCCCTGCTGTCCCTTAGACAATATTCTGTCAAGTCAAGGACGTTTGACTCAAGTCTTATTCAGGTGATAATTAGCAGTTCCTTAACCAAGGGTGTTGTTCCCTCCAGTTTTAAACATGCAATTCTGCAACCCCTTTTATGGAAACCAACCCTTGACTCCAGTGACAAAAACTACAGGCTCATCTCCAAGCTACCATTTATTCCTCCTCGTACTTGAACACATCTTTGACAAATTCCAAACTGGTTTTTAGAGAACTTCTACTACTGACTCTGCCCTGTTAAGGTACATAATGACATCCTTCTCACAGTGTTGGTTTACCCCCTACCTGAGAGAAATTACTCAGGTAGTACTGCTATTAAATGTGGCATCCCTCAAGGCTCAGTTTTATGCTTCCCCTTGGCTTCTTTCAGAAGTACAATGATTTGTATCACTGTTATGCGGATGACACACAGTTTTACATACCAGATGCACAAAATGATTTTGTTTTTGAAGCCTTCAATAGTTTAGCTCCACAATACATTATTGTCAGGATTGCCCAAGTGCAGAGGCAGGTTAGTGCAGACCCAAACGAGCAGGATGGAGTTCTTGTGTTTATGAATGATATGCTAAGTACATACTCTGTGCCTGGGTCACTTAGGTCATCCTCACAACAACTCACTTACAACTAAAGGTGACCAGGCTTTGGAATAGTCTTCTGTCCAACGTTAAGTCCTGCCCCACCATGGAGATCTTCAAATCTAATTTAAATATCTACCTTTTTTTTTTGGCTTTTAACTGATTCTGACCCAATAGTCTTTATCAGGGCCACATAGAATTATTTTAATCGTTCTCTTGGACCATTTCAATCTGACAGTATTATCATTATAAGTCTTAGTTAATTTGTTAATTGAATGATGAACAAAATAATTTCCTTGTTTAAAAAGATTACTTGTCAGTTACTGTATAGCATACTGTGTTTGTGTTAATCTGCATGAGGATGTTTTAAACAGCCAGCTGTCCCAGCAGTGAGGAGGAAACAGCATGATATGTTGAGGACAGCTACAGTTCACTGACTCTGTGTGTTTGCATATCTGTCCTGCCTCTCTGCTCCCAGCCGTTAAGAGGCCAGTGTTGATCAGTGGCTGTCCAGGCCTTTCAGAGCCACTGACACGCCGGCAGCACAATGATGATGTCACTGATTCTACTGCTGGCCACCCTGGGGCTCCTTGTTCAGGGTGAGACTCTCTTCTGAAAACTTGGCTTCAGGATGCAACCAGCTTCACCACAATGATGTTCTGCTGTGATGGAGAAACACTGAAACAAGCAGCATTTACCTTCTTCCATCTGTTCTCCATCTTAAAGAAATGAGACTCTTCTGTTTGGATGCTGATCATCTTTCTCCAAGCTGGATTTGTCTCAATAACCCTTCTCCTCTTTTTCATCTTTTCCAGGTTCATCAGGACAAATCATCCTGACTCAGTCTCCTGGATCTCAGTCTGTTGTTCCAGGACAGGCTGTCTCTCTCAAATGTAAAGCCAGTTCAACTGTTAGAAGCTACCTCAGCTGGTACCTTCAGAAACCTGGAGAAGCTCCTAAACTCCTGATTTATGCAGCTACAACTCGTCTGTCTGGAGTTCCAGATCGTTTTAGTGGAAGTGGATCTGGGACTGACTTCACTCTGACCATCAGTGGAGTTCAGGCTGAAGATTCAGGAGTTTATTACTGTCAGCAGGGTTCCAGCTATCCGTTCACACAGTGATACAACGTCGTACAAAAACCTCCCTCAGCAGGAGAGGAACTGATCTGACTCAACAGCTGCACTGAAACTAAAACAACAGGAGGTTTATAAAAAAACTTTTAGACAATAACAACAACACTTTAAACATTTCAACACTAAATATTCTGTATTTAAGCCAAACATTTATAATCTAATTGAACTATTCTTCTGAAATTCACAAAGTATCATAACACTAAAATTGTAAATATTTATGATTTTATATCTTACAATTTTTCATAGGAACTTCAACATACTTAACGAAATATCATCTCAATAAAATCTAATTTCATTCAAGTCAAAATGACCAATCATGTCTATAACAACATGTATAAATAACTTAATTTGTGTTTTTTATTCCAGCAAACACATTTATTTCATAATGGGACCAAAAGGTTCATGGAGTAAATAAATCAGCAACATTTGAATTATTTCCTTTTATCATCTTTAGTTTTATTCAAGTGAAAAGATTCTTTGGATACACAAACAATTACAAGATTAAAGTTATTACCATTAAGACAGTTTTACCAGGGATTTTGTTCCAAAGAGGTTTATTATTACAGAAAAATCTGTAACGACAGCAGGAAAGGTTTTACAGTCATGAATGAATTCAAATTGATTGTGAAAAAATATGGAATTCTACGACCATCACTGGTTTGTACTAATCAAAATATAATGAGGAGTTATGTCTGACTTTAAAATCTCTCAATATACTGTAACTTTAGAAATATATTATGACGTTATACTGTTGTTCTCTGGATGTGAAACAGTCACTGACACCATCAAGAGAACATTTATTAAGACACTTTGATGATAATAAACATGAAAACAGCTGATTGGATGAAAAGGTCTTTATTATCTGGAAACACTGAAATAACATTGAAACAGTGCAACAAGCTAGTAAATCTTGCTGTTGAAAGATGTCAAATAAAAGAGAGAGACAGTTCCAGAGTGCAGAGTGAGAGCAGGAGCAGAGGAAAACCAGTAGCAGAGTCCCAGTGAGTCAGGTCAGGACTGGGAACACTGGTCTCTCCTCAGTGTCTCTGAGACCAGAGTCTGGGAGCCCTGGGTGGCCTCACAGGTCACAGAGCCCACCTTCCTCCACTGGTCTGCAGAGAGCCTCAGGGTGCTGCTCCAGCTGTAGTGGCCGTCCTTCTGCAGCACCCCGGGGCTCCTGCTCTCCTCCCAGCTGCTGCTGCTGCTGCTGCTGCCGTCCACCTTCCAGGCCAGACTCCAGTCTGAGGGGAAGCCCTTGTTGGCCAGGCACATGAGCGTGGCCTTCCCCTGCTGCAGCTCCTCGCTGGAGGGGGGCAGCACCATCAGGGTGGGACGGGCATCACCTAGGAGAAGAACCAATCGGCTTAGAGGACGGGGACCACACAGCTGGTTTCTGCTCCACCAGTCACTCACTCACACATTGTTTCACTTCCTTTAAGAAACCTCTCATGCATATCAGCACAGAAAGAGTCCTCATATGAGCTGAAAGATATCAAACTGCACTGGACATAAAACAACCAGGATTTAAATTTGGAAAAATTACAATACATATTTACGACATTATTAGCTCAAAATAAGTCGTCATACAAAAACCTCTCACCGTAGAGAGACACGGCTCTCTGACTTTGAACACAACAAACTCAACAAAAACACTTGCTGTTTTTAAAAGAATGAACTATTTCATGTTATATTTATCAAACAGTGACACAGTTGTTGAGAATGAATCCCATTTTTACGTATATATTGTTCCATTGGTGTGAAAGTCAAATCGATCCCTCTAGAATGAAATGAAAGCAGACAGAAGATGTTGTAAAAGAAAATCTTTCTGCAGTCATCAAAGCAAATGTCCATAAAAATGATCACTGACACATTCCTAATCAATCCTCTGGTAAACGTATTGATCCATTGAGAAGCAGCATCATCAGAGTAATCCAAGTCCCTGTTGGAGTCAGTCAGAGCATTTCCATAGAGAGCCACTTTGCATCAGCAGCACCATGCTCCAGTGCTCTGGGAGACTTTATAGTCCTGAGAGTTGAACACTGGATGACTGACAGCTGTCCTTCATGACAACAGAAGCCACAGAAATCCTCCTCATCAAAAACATGACTTTGGTCTCCGTCCTCATCTGGACTCTCCTCTGCTGCTGCTTCACAGGTAAAGTCCAGAGAATCAAACTCCTCTCCTCTATGAACATCCGTCCCTCTGAAATGAAGCCCACAAAACCATGACGCTGCTTTATGTGTTTGTCTCTGTATCCTCAGAGTCCAGAGGCCAGATCACAGTGACTCAGCCTGGAGCAGTGAGCTCTGCTCTGGGAGCCTCCGTCTCCATCAGCTGTAGGGTCAGTCAGCAGGTTGGGGGTTGTAGCAGTGCTTACTGTTTACACTGGTACCAACAGAAAGATGGAGAAACTCCTAAACTACTCATTCGCAACACCAACGAGAGAATGTCAGGGATTCCAGGTCGTTTTTCTGGCAGTGGATCTGGGACTGATTTCACTCTGACCATCAGTGGAGTTCAGGCTGAAGATGCAGCAGTTTACTACTGTCAGAGTGTTCATGTTATCAACAGTCAAGCTGTGTTCACACAGTGAAAAAGCGTCGTACAAAAACCTCCCTCAGTCAGACTGAACAGAAACTGAACTGACTGCTGCAGCTGGAAGCTACTGCAGAGACTGATACAGTTCACTGAGGACACACACACACACACACACACACACACACACACACACACACACACACGACTTGTGGACCCACAAACCACAGCTGACTGAAAACAGCAAGCAGAGGATCAAACTTGTCTGATGGCTCTAAAATTTCCTTCAGTATATTAATTAACTTCATTTTAAATTCACTTGTATCAACCACTGTCCACTCACCAAATATTCATTTCCAAACACATGCTTAGCCTGGTTCCCCTGTTCTCCTGCAAACATCCCTCTGACCTCCATCTGACACAGTTGACACAACATGAAGGTAGAAGTACATTACAAATTCACAGAATTGAAAACATAAACTATATGAACATATACTGATTAATGTGGCCGACCATAAGTCCAAAAAACAGATCCCTTTACTATCTTCTACCCCTACACTTTATACAGACAGACGCTTCAGACACTGATCCACAAACCTCTGACAGTTAGTCTAATATTATAAAACTAAAGGAAAATAACAACTCGTCTTATAGCGTTAAAGCTTTTTGAAGCACGATTTGAGCGATCTTAGGAAGAAGCATCCAAAAGCCGTCTGCCTGAACAATTCTACAATGTTTTACTGCTGGAATGAACCAAATGGGACACATTTTGCTGCCTCTCCCACTGCTGGCTGTTTCATTTGTCTTAGCTAGTAGGACATCATCTGTGAGCGCTGGATCATCCAGATCATTCTTAAGCTGGTATTTCACATTATCACACATCAGTCCTGTCCCCACAGCTCTTAAACATTTCCACTGGATCAGTTCAGGGCCGTATTGGTCATCTGTACCAGGCTCCCTGGATGAAGCTAAGAGTCTCTGTTTCAGTTCTATTGCCCTAAATGGGACATTTTTGTGGAGACTCATTACTGTCTTGTGTAATAAACGCCTTTATATCATCACGCCTGGATTACTTTTTTTTCCTACCTTTTTACTTGCTTCATTAAAAAAAAAATCAATTGATCAACTCCAGATTGTTCAGAACTTAGCTGCCAGGCTTTTAACCAGAACAAAGAAATATGAGCACATCACCCTTGTTTTAGCTTCATTACACTGGCTCCCAGAATATTTTAGAATAGACTTTAAAGTTTTATTGATTACCTTTAAAGCTCTTCATGGCCTCTCTCACTGTTATATTTTTTTATAGTCCCATACCCACCTGCACATATCTTGAGATCCTCGGGCAGAGGTCTTTTGTCCGTTCCAGAGTCTCGACTGAAAACTAAAGGGGACAGTTTGCAGTCAGGGCCCTGAAGGCTCTGGGACAGCCTGCCTGAGGAAATCAGGGCGGCTGAGTCAGAGAACTCTTTTCTTAAAACATACTTTTATAGAAGAGCATATTCCTGATACAGACAAGCCCATTTAATGAGGCAAAATGTGACATTAGTGAGGCCGTCCATACAGAAGCTAATTAGCCTACTTTGAACGTCAACAGTTAGTTAAATACCCCATTAATCCATATTTTTCATCTGTATCAAAGTGATAAGAAAAGGACAACATTTACCTGTCCACTCTGCTGCATGTCTGTAAGTGATCATTATTGATTGTATAGTGTAAATAGTGTGTTGATAGTTCTATAATACTGTTTCTGTTCGTTTATAATCCTTTATGCTGCTGTGTCGACTGAAATTTATTTAATAATGTTACATCTTATGTTATGTCTTGTACTGTGCCTAGCCGAAGTCACTATGGCTTTATACTAAAATCGTTTGCATCTTTTACGTGCATTGATTATAATTAACCTGTGTTATGCCAGTTTAAAATGCACTCTCCTTGTCAAGGGAAGAGTTGTGAACAGCTGTGGGATCAGCAGGTAAGATTGTTCAGGCAACCGTTCCGAGCCACTTATGCAAATGTTTAACTCGTGAATGACACGTGAACCGTAAGTCATGGATAACCTTCTGGGTCGCGATGCTGTCTGAGGGACGACACTGACTGACTGAACGTGCACACTCTGAGTTAATGTGCTTGACACCACTGGTCATCAAGCACGAATTGTAGTTTAGACTGCCTTCATACAGTTTGCTGTCACGGCAGATATTCATGATTAAGGAAACTTTTTTAAACATCATTTAGACTCTGCTGCAAGGCTTTTAACTCACATTAATAAAAGAGCGCACATCACACCTGTTTTAGCAGCACTTCACTTGTTACCAGTCCAGTATAGAATTCAATTTAAAATCCTGGTTCTTACTTTTAGAGCCCTGCACGGTCAAGTTCCTCTCTACATATCGGAGTTGATACAGCTTCATACTCCGACCCGTAGCCTGAGGTCATCAGGTCAGGGGTTGTTAGTGGTTCCCCACACTCCTTTTAAAACCAGGGGGGATCGATCATTTCAAGCAGTGGCACCTAGGCTGTGGAATGCATTGCCTCCCTTTCTACGTTGTCTTAATGCTGTTGATTCTTTTAAAATGCAACTGAAGACGCTGCTATTCAAGCAGGCTTTTAGTTAGACGAGGAGTTTTTATGGTTTTTGATCTATGTTTTCCATATGTATTTAAATTTTCTTATGCATTGTATTTTACTATGTTGTATTGTTTTACATTTTATTGTGAAGCACTTTGTGATTTTTATCTGTGAAAGGTAACTTTACTTGCTTACTTAGACAGTGTCAGGTAGCACCATGTAGGCTACAGTTCTTGCAGCACTTCAAATATTATTTTGTTACACTCAGAAAAAAGCACAATACCCCTGTCTGGTGTATTATCATCATTATGAGGATGAGAGATAGCTGAGACGACTGTGAGGAGACCGACTGTACAAATCAGGCTGAAACATTGAGAGCTTTGCTGCGTTCTTCACCTGCCCCTGGAGCAACTTCAACGAGCTGAAGTTGTCAGTAAACTACCAACCCAGCAAGAAGCAACACAGAAAGTTTTGGTCTAGAGTGGAGTTCTAGTCTACGGGGTGGTGACGGCGCAATGGATAAGACTATACCTTTGGTGTGAGAGACCCAGGTTCAGTCCCACACTGTGACCCATCCACCATGGTGTCCCTGAGCAAGACACTTAACCCTAGTTGCTCCAGAGGTGTGCGACCTCTGACATATATAGCAATTGTAATTGCTTTGGATAAAAGCGTCAGCTAAATGAGTAAATGTAGAGAAAGTGAGCTAAGATAGCATCCATACACACGAGCTAGCCTAGTAGCTTACAGCAGCTCCACACAGCCATACTACGGTTGCTAGCAAACCAAAAGCAACCATGCCAACAATACCCTGTGAGGACTCCATTCTACTTGCTGAAGCAAACAAAAAGATCACTGACCTTAGAAAAGACATCCGACGGCTATCTGAGGAACTCCAGAAAAAACACTCCCTTCTGACCGGCTTCATGTAAGTGGCTTCAGCACAGACCAAACAGATTGCCTCCCTAAACACAGTGCAGACCAACCCACAATCAGGGAGTTCATTACCTCTGCCTACATTCACTGTATTCTGTGACTTCAGCCTTCAAACTGAAAGTCACATTTCTGAAACTATTACCAAATCCAGTAACTCCACATGTCATCTGGATCCAATCCCCATAACCCTAGTAAAAGTCGAAAATTCTGTTCGATTTATTCCTAGTTGTATCTCAACTACAGACCCACGTCAATAAAAACAGTCTCCTGGTAAAAATTCCAATCTGCAAACATAGCACAGAAACTACCCTGATTAACATCATCAACGATCTCCTCCGTGCAGAAGATCCCAGTCCTTTACTGTCCATTCTGATCCTCCTGGACCTCACAGCAGCTTTTGACACTGCATCACATCCCCTCCTTATGGACTGCCTGGCAAATATAGGAATTGGGGGCACTGTCTATCAATGGTTTGCTTCCTACCTCTCAGGAAGGTTACAATATGTAAAAATAAAACTACAGATCAGAAACCTCCAGAGTCCAATACGGAGTACTGCAGGGTTCAGTGCTAGGACATCATCATCATCTACCCCCTCCCTCTTGGCAACATCTTCCGGGTCTACAACATCCATTTTCACTGTTATGCTGACGACACACAGCTTTATCGGTCACAAACCCCAGCTCCATACTCCCCTCCGGTACACTCACTGCCTGTCTACATGACATTCAGACATAGATGACAACGAATTACCTTCAACTCAACAATAGTAAGAGCTACTGCTCATTGGTTCAAAATCTACTCTGTCAAAAATCAACATCAGCTCACTCCCTGTTGATGGAACTGCCATACTTGTCTCCACACAGGTGAAGAGCCTCGGTGTAATATTGGACAGTACCCTCTCTAACTCCAGCCATATCAATAACATATCCTGGACTGCCTTTTTCCACATACGAAACATCTCCAGACTACGCCCTTCTCTAACTCAACACTCAACAGAAGTCCTAGGAAATGCCTTGGTCACATCACGCTTTGATTACTGCAATGCAATTTTAGCAGGCATTCATAGCAAACCGGATCATCAAGGATCATAACACGCTCCAAGTCCACAGAACATATCACTCCTCTGCTGATTCAACTACACTTGCTCCCTGTATCACAAAAGGATTAACTTTAAACTTATTACTAACATTCAAAGCCCTCAACAATCTGTCTCCTACTTATCTCACTGAACTCATTCAGACCTACACTCCATCTCGTTCCCTGAGGTCTTCCACAGCAAGTCTTTGGCACTACCAACCATCAACATCAGTACAATTGGTACTAGGATCTTCTACTATGCTTCACCCAAACTCTGGAACACTCTCCCCCCCACACATCCGTACACTGGACTCTATTACAAACTGCGCTCAAATCTTTTTAAACTACCATACTCACTGGAATAATATACAACACCAATTCCCATTGTGACTGTTGATGTTTTAAATTTCATTTTCCTTTTATTTTTTATGCTATTTTTATGATATGTACATACTTTTGCTTCTTGTTGTAAGGTG